CCTTCATACAAGTAGTTTATTATCTTTGTCACTCATTTCTCCATTTTGGAATCAAAGTACTGCCTTTACTGTATTTTGTATATTCGGACTGTAAGATCTGCTATAGTATACCACTATAGCAGAGAGTATAACAAGCCTTCACAACAGTCCCCAGGATGGTGGTCTAACAGGCTCCTTGAGTCTCTAGATGCTATCATATAAGTGATACTAATGCTAATTCTGTCCTTTGCTTTTTAATTTCACCTTATCTTTATCTTGGTGAAGTGCCCCGTCCTAAACAGCACTGACCTCCACAGACATGCTGAGCATCTACCACAAGAGTTGGGGGCACTCATCGCTTCCCAGGAGAAACACAGTACCTTGTACAATCAGACACAGTCTCTACAAGGTAAATTGAGATGGTTGAAAGAGATAATAGCTTACCTGTAAGGATTCTGTTCATTCATCCACAAGCACACTCACATAGGTATATCCTACATGTCAGATTAAAAACAGATCACACATTGTTTAAGTGGCATCTAAAAATCTGTTATGAGTACTTGCTTCAAACAATTCTACCATGGTTCATCATAGCAAATGAAAAATACTTCTGTTTACTTCTACCTCTTCAACAGCTGGTAAAAAAAAAAGCCATTTCTGTGGTTCAGCTGAACACTAGACTGCCCAGAGATAAGTAACAGGACAGACGCTAGCACGGGACACCAGCTCATTCTCACCAGAATAGCAGCACACAGAAACTCTACTCCACACCCTCCAAGTGGGTGGGAAGGCTGCCCGCTGTGAGACCTCACTGTTGGCTTTCAGTCCAAAACTAAAGGACAGCAGTGAATTGAGACAAAAGCTTTCCAGTCATAGTCTTTACACTTACATAGCACGTGAAATGAAAGCTCTGTGTGTATGTATGTACGTATCTATATTTAGCCATCTTGTAAAACTGAAGTAGGACACTACCAATTTAAATTCCACCAGAGTTTTTGGCCATATGCACCCTATCTGTTCTCATCTGCACAGCTGCAAAGCTTGGGTAATACCTGACTGTCAGCAGGGTTTACTGTAGGTAATACCACTTCCACAATATTGATACCTGACCCAACACAGAATCATGATACCACCCAGTACCACAAAACCACTAAGTATATAGGACAAGGAGCAATTAAGATTTCAAGAGGCCTTGGGTGTAATCAGGGATCTCTCTTCCATTTCTAACCCTCATCTTTCAAGCTGCTCTGATATTACTGAGGGCCAGAACCCTCAGTAATAGCAACCCCTGCTTGCCTTCGTGGCACCTGCAGTTCAAGGTTGTGGTAGGAAAGTTGGAAATTCTCCTTCTTCTCCTTTTCCTCTGAAGAACAGGCTACCCAGCCCAGCCCAACCCTCTCCCTCACACGTTCCCAGACTCACAGACCTCCCATGCACAGGAGCTCTGCTCTGCTCTTCCTCCTTTACTGGGCAGGAGAACAGCCAGCTGATGAGTGAGTGTGGAAGCACGAGCTGCTTCCAGCCCTCCCACTGCTCCACGCTGAAGTGCCATGCAAATACCACTGCCCAGTTCTGCAGAGAATCAGGTTTGCCCATACTTGGCTGAACAGAAGTCTAGTTTCATGAATATTATGAGAGCATCAACATCTAATAACTTTAGCACTCTGTACCTAGAAAATCACAGTATTAGCAACATGTCAATATATTGCCCATGACTGGGGATTTGTTTCAAATCCATACCACTGTTCATAGGAGTCTTGACTGCTACACTATAATGACTCATGTAACAGCTCATACGCATTACAGCGATGAAAACTTGGCTGCACTTGAGCCATAATGCTTGGTTCTGATGATATGAATGTACCACTGAAAGATGAAGACCAGCCCATGTGAAAGTAAATGTCAGGAATACTTAGTGTAATTCCTAAAGGTCTGGTAATAATATTGAGTGTATTGTCACTGAAGCAGTTATCATAAGTAAGTTTTGGCAATACTTTATTTCTACTGCGTATCAATTGGATAGGCTACTGGATGGGATGGAGGATGCTTAGAAATAGTATTAACACGAACATTGCTAGACCCTTGATCAAACAACTTTACTAGGGCAACCCATGCACATAACTCTGAGTGCAGTGGCAGAGGAAAATAAATATCTAAAGGCTGCATCAGCAACACCTATTCCAGTGTTCTGATCTTTACAACTTTGGCTGTAACTATTCTTAAAACCAAACACTTCCACTTGAAACCAAATAAAAGCAACAGACCAGGACAATAAAAGCACCATGTTCTATTAAGAAGCAAGCAGCAACTGACCCCAAGAAAAACATTTTTAGTGCACTTGCATTTTACAAAAAACAGGAGACTGTTGGAGCATGATTATTTTCTTCATTAGGTTTTGGTATTACCAGATATGAACCTCTCACTCACTGAGCTGAGCCATGCACTACCTAAACCTGCAAGGTACCAACACTGCACAAGTAGGTTGTAACTATAAATACTATATTATTACTAAATGATTTATTATCCCATTGGGCTGCTAGCAAGACAATAGTTTGACTCTACTTACTGACCAGCTGTTGAATTGGTTTACTGACCAAAACAAAAATCCGAGGTCTATGTACCTCCCGAGTTATGTAGAAGTCTTGAACTTCTGGATATGACTTATTGCTATAATGAGCCATTCCAAAAGCCCAGATGCAGTCCAAGCAAGTATTCACACGCCCTGATGCTGATCCCATTGACTGCTGGATTGACAGCTTTTGGAGCTAAGATCCCCTTCTGTGTTTGTTACAGTGGCAGTCTTACTAGAAGTACTTCTAAACAGTTAACAAATGTAAAAAATAATAAAACTAAGGTTTAGCCCTAATCTGATGTTGTAGAATTCCATTGCTTGCATATGTTATGTAACGTATAACCGATTCAACAGCCTCATATATAAAAATTGGCTACTTGCATATTAACCCAGCACAACCACTCTCTAGCTGCTGAGAACAGCTCTAAGCCATGGCTAGGATGTCCAAGCCCTAGGTGGAGTGAAACTATGGAACATTTAGATTAGATTTCTTCCAAATTTATTTTAGATGTCCTACAGTTGTCATCTCTGTGCTTCTTGAGGGATCTTAAATTGCCACATCTTCGCCCCACACAGTCATCTAATGTTTAACTGAGGAATAAAGAGGTCAGCATTAGGCTTTACCACAGTGTCCCGCTACAAAACGTACGGTATTTCTGCTGTCCATGTTGAAAATAAATTACACTATCTTTTTCTCAAACTGTCAAAAAGCTACCTTTAAATGGAGATCCAATGTTTTCCATAGGTTTTATACTTTTAAATCAGAGAAGGGAAAAATCCCATTTTTGACTAGTGAGTCTATCCTGGATATGCACAGATGGAGTGAAATTATTTTGTGGTGTAACTGATAAGGGAAGTTAATCACTAGATAGAAATTGGTTGGAAAATAGATTTAAATGGAAGAGCAATATAACTTGCCTTATTTGGCTGCCACTGGCAATGCAACAAAAGTAGCACTCCTGAGATGCAGAAGAGATGTTTATAGTAGGGAAAACAACACAGAGACAGACATGCTGAGGTCTCTTTATCTGATAACTTTGTGGTAATTGCCTTTCATGCCCTGTGGCATGTAGGATGCACTAATTTGGCATTCAGTGAGTACAGCAAAGAAACATAATGCAAACAAAGAAGAGTCAAACTCTTACACTACTGCTTTACCTTACTAAATTACCAAGGCACAGCAGTGTTTGCATCATCACAAAGTCTGAGGTAGACATTTCTATGGGCCAACATCACCCTCTTCCTAGAGTCCAGGCTCATTTCCATCAGAGTAACCTGACTGATTTCACCAATTCTTTCTGATCAGCTCTGCTGTGAGGTCTGGTTCTATTTGCTGGCTGAGATTTTGCCCTTGGTTTGAACCCCAGCTGAGTGGTTACAGGCATTTCTTCCTCTTGCCGAACTGCCTGCTGACATCTCCTGTATTGAAGGTAGGGAACCTTCAAAAACTGTTTCTACCAAAACAACATGAATTTTGCCTCTGATTTTACTGGGTTTAGAACTGTCTCTATCGCCCCTTCCTCTCTCTTCACCAACTACTGCATAGAAGCAAAGTCATCAGTATTGCTGAGCATAGCTCAGTTCCCAGACACCTTCTTCTGTTAAACAGGCTTTTTAAATATTCTTAATTTACATTTGGGGGTTTTCTCCTGTACTTTTTATATTGGCAGTGTCTCGCCTCTTAAAAACCACATACAGCTGTGAGTACATGTGTTCCCTCTTTCTCATAATAGCTGACCCCAAAGACAGCAAGCCTTTATTACTAACTGCAGGGAAGAATGCGCAACACTACGCTCTACCTGACACAGCTGTAGCTTCTCCGCATCTGCTTTACAGTCACTCATTCAGCATCCAGACTCATCACGTCACATAGTTTAATTGTGGGGGAAGAGTACCAAGGACAAGAAGAATGAAAAAAGAATGGACTAAAGTACACATACAGGCATACACACATATACAAATGTGGCATATGCTCAATAATTTTTATTATTTGTTGTTTATAATCTGGTCACACCCTTGGTACCCAGCCCCATTATGAAAAATCTTATCAGTGTACTGTTCCACGCACACAGCGGTCTTTTTCACAAAGATTAGGCAGCAGATGCCAGAGTGAGATTTTGTATTAATAACACACTGAGGCAATAATTAGTAATACATTGATCCTTTACATCCTTATGAATTTGCTAATAGAGGCCAGGATTCACCCCTATGGAAGGTAAATTCAGCTCCCATTGCATTCAATACAAGTTGTACACATTTCTGTAAGGGATGAGTTGAGTGCAGAGGGTTTGGTGATTATTGTTACAGCAAATCAAGTAAGATGTAACAGATGCAAAGAAAATGGTTGGAGAGGGGCAAAGATAAAGTCCAAGGTCTAAATGCCAGGTTTGCATGTATGCCAGCTGCTCTGCAGCACAGGAGAGAGAGAGAGAGGCAAACAAATACTTACCAGGTTTAATTTCCAGCAGCTTCAGCCTGGAATCCTCAGGGGGATGCAAACGCCTCTTTTTGCGCCAGCAACGTGCTGGATACGTGTACAGCTGACCTGGGGCCAGGCCTGAAGATTAAAAGCAAAAAATAAACATAATCATATTTCAGTTTGTAAACCACAAGCATTGTCTCTAGCATCTTTGTTCTTGCCCTTCCAGCATCTCCTTGTTGGAGGGTTCAATTCTGCAAATCGTGAGGCAGAACTACGCACGCAAGGCATCCAGTGCTCCTGAGGCTCCTCAGCACCTCTTGGGATCAGGTCTACAGAGAATCGAGGTCTCACTTATACACTTCACTCAGCTCACTGAAACCAGAGCTGCACATAAATAATTTGTGATTTCTTCAGGGTAAATAGAATTTCAGACTCTCCTGGGTCACAGGGGTGATGCCTCCTCCACGGGCAGAGAAAGCCCCTTGGGAGAGAAGAGATGAAGTTCTGACACGCAAATCATAAGGCCCTGATGCACAGAGCAGCTCAGGAAATTTGTGTCTTCCGAGTGGGAGCAAACCAAGATCCATGAGGTCTGGCTATCTGGATGTATTTTTGCTTAAATTCTGGACTTTTGTTTGAAGACAGATTCTTCATTCTGGTTATTACCTCCTCATGCCAACATCCTGAAGGAGGGAGGAGATACAGCAGTAATGTTTATATTACTGCATGCTTCATTGAATCACATTTGGCATTGCTGGCTTCTGAGCTGCCCTGGCTCTCCTGACAGACACCCTTTAGCCAACATTCAAGCTATGCTTTGCTTTCTTGTATTCAGAACACAGCAGGGCTTCGTGAATGCATCGCTACTAGGGGCACAGAAGCACACTGCCAAGTGCTTCAAAGTATCCTCAACTGCCCCAGATACTCATGACACACAGAAATACCCAGCAAGATACAGAAAAGTTGGAAGAATGTCATTCTCTCCCCTGCTTCCCCTGCCCTCTCCATCCACCAATTCTGCTTTGGCTCTTCTGTCCTTCTGCTGTTGCTGTTAGTCTTGAAGGGGCTACAGAGCACGACTGCAATTCCAGACTCATTGCCCTTAGAAAACAGGTAAGACCACGTAAAAGAGAGGACAGGAGTATGTTACCATATCTGAAACTGTACCAACAGTGAACAGCTGGACGACATCAAGGCGATGCCAGTAAAGCAGAACAGCTCAAGGGCAGCAGGATGGCCCAAGAGTTCCCAGCCATCCCTTCTGAAGCAGCCAGGAAAGTGTACCAGCTTGGGAACAAAACTGACTCACTGAACCAAATGAGGATAATGAAAAAACCAATATCCTGTTACTTGGGGGGGAAAAAAAAAGATACAACAAAATTATTCACCTCAAGAGAATGGGCTAATCAAATTCTGCAAGTGAAGCCTACGCTCCTGGTTTGAAATATGTCAATTGTTGGGAATGCCAGTTCAGACCCCAGCACTTTCCACCTACTTCCAAGGCCTTGGTGCATAAATGGAGCATCTACAGCACTCTGCCTAGGTATGGCCAAGCGATGGAGTATTCGCAGAGATCCTGGCTGTTTCAGGGCACAGAGTGCTACTGAACTGGGGCTTTTCACGTCCTTCTTTCATTGCTGCACAGCTTGCTGGGCATTATGCCCACCCAAGAAGGACACATTTCAAAGCGGGGCACTTGGGACTGGTTTGGGAATAAAAATGTGAATAACTAGCACTTCTACAATGTTTGGACACACTTCTTCATGGCACTTTGCAAACATTAACCACTGCAAACAATTGCTATTATGATGAGGTGGATTGAGCCTGGCTCTGATGTGAGTCATTAAAGAGGTGGAGGCAAGAAGCCTCACCCTTTCACAGCAGGTCCTGTGCAAGAACTCGCTCACAACATTGAAATGGCGGTTGCTAGACCGAAGCAATAGAACAGAGAATCAGCCCTCCATTGCACAGGCCTCCACAGAGGAGTCATTTGAATGAAATAAGCACCACAGCTTTGAGCATTTGTCCCAGACAGAGAGGAGCAGGGATCTACTGCAGTTTTGGGAGAGTATCTGTTAATGGGGGTTCAATTATTGAGCGGTCTTATATGAATTAGCAGTTCTGGATTCAGCCAGGACAGTGAAAGCCAACCAGAAATGCTGAAAGCCCAACAAGAAACAAAGCAGGTATCCTTGAAAAGACAGAGGTGGGAAAGCCTCTTCCCTAGAGGACCTACAGCCCACTCTAGGTGGCAGATAGATCAATAAGAGATAGATGATCCAACATGCATCTCTGCACCCCTTGAGGTAAGTTCTCTGTTCCTACTCACAATACCCTTGCTCATTAATACACAGACATCCAATGAACTTAAAATACATACCAGACCTTCACTTGATCCAAACCCATCAAATGCTACCTTCACTTCTCCACCCTGACCCCTATCTGTCACTGTGCTGGCTCACATGAAGTGTGGATCTTTGATTGTTTACACAAAGGAGGGGCAACAAGGAAAGGGTCAGTTCTGAACGCTCTGAATCTAGCCCCTCCACAGTCGATCTTGCAGTGCATATGGAAATAATGCATATACAGGTCTTGCCATCTTCAGTCGTGGCTCAGTTGTCTCTCCCTCTGGTGCCTTATAGGGCAACCAGAGAAGGTTCCAACCATTTGCTTATAGAGGAAATAGCAGAACCTGCAGTGAGTTATGTTGTTTATCTCATTAGTGTAGGAGAGTCATAACTCAAAGCTGGTGTGAAAGGCTGTGGGAGGAGGGGAAAAGGAGGAGGGAGTTATGTGCAGTATTGTGTGAAATTAACCCTGAACTGTTTATCATAAGATGCAGTTTTCTGACTCCTTTAACAAAGAGGACAGCAAGAAACCAGGTTAATATGCTGAGATCCAGACTCTCCTCTGTTTTTCAAGCCCTCTGTAAGTGAAAAGAGGTCCTGGAGCTTTGCCATTTGTCTTTATACAGTTTTTCAGGTTAGGGGTAGTAAATGGCAGTGAACACAGCACACAAGACAGACACCAGGGTGGTTGGCAGAGAATTTTCAGAGCCCTTCAGTATGGGCATAAGTGCATTGTGTACAGTCTGAAAACAGGCGTGCTAAAACTGTAGAGGGATGCTTTGACCCACCATAATACTATGAGAAATAGATGATGCAAAGAGACCCAAGGGAGCACTAAATGGGCTAATAAAAATCAAGAAAGAGGAGGGCAAATATGGGGGAGGAGGGCTGCTTCATTTCACACTGATTATTCTAGTTCAGAATAACAAAGGCACCAGATTTGGTGGCTGATGCAGATGCAGGAGGCTTGTTTCACTTAAGACTCTCTGTGAAGAATGTTCCACCATTAGTCCTGCCTGCAGCCCTGCAGGAGAAATGCCACTGATCCTCTTTTGCAGGGTAAGCTGCCGAACAGTTCACTATCAGAAGTAAGGAAAGAAAGATTTGCACAGTGAATTTGCTCAAGGTAGTCCAGAGAGCTTGTGGCTGAGAAAGGCAAAGCGTTAAGACCTCTTGGTTCCTGGTGTGATGCTGTAACACTGTTATGATGATTTCTTCTGTAAGTGTGGAGACACCAATGAGACCCATACAAGACTACCTATGTCTATCTTTGTAGCAGATGCTCTTGCTAAAACATTACTTCTGGATATAGTGGATGTATACCCACTCATGACTGCGTTCAAAAGGATAAAAATAGCAGCACCTTACTCATAACGAGATGCTACAAGAACAGAAATTCCTTGAGTAAACGGATTAGCAAAAAAAAAAGGAAAGCTAATTTTGCCAAAGCATAATCTCTTAGGAATGGGGAATTTTCAGCTGAAACAAAAACCCAACTGTGGTTATCCCAGAAAGAAGGGTTAGCCCAGAACCTCAGACAACTCCCAGCTTGTAAACCACATTCAGTGGCCCCAGATTACCCCAGTAGTTTTGGCAGCTGAAACATTATCAGGGTATCTTTAACTCTGGCAAAACACCTGTTGTCTCCTGCACCAGAAGTGGCTGCATTTTACTATAGAAAGACTTTTCTGATAGTACTGCAAGACAATACTAAATCTATTTTGGATATTTTAGGAATAGGAGCAGTGCAAGGATCCTTCTCTCAGTATATCCTAGGAAAGGGAGAGGGCAATTTTCAGCTAAGCACTCTTCAGAGGCAGCAATAGCTTTCTTAGTCTGCCCCCAGAAGGGGAGGGAAATAGCCTATGTGTTCCTCCCACTCCACCTCCTGCAAACTGGCCAGTGCAGGAGGTAAGAGCAGGCTGCACCTTCCCATAATTCCAGATCTGGAGTTTGGGGGGTTTTTTTCAGTATGGTTTACAGGAACTGGCATGTGTATATGCACACGTGTGCATGCTGTGCTTCTGGTGCCCATGCACCCTAGCCCCATCCCTGCCTGGATTCTCTGGTCTGCGGTGAAAAAAAACAAAAAAATACAAACCCAGTTTGGTGCTGTAAAAAAATCTGTTCCCTGAGCTAATGGTGGGTCATATACTGAGCCATACTCTAGCAAAATTCCCCCTGGGGTTCAGGAGGCCTTCTGGCTGAGTAACATCTCCAGTCTTTGAACTGGTGACTGTCCTTTGCCTTTCAAACAATGATTTCAGATGGATTCACTCTAAGAAAGACTGACCAAAGTCTACAAAAATAACAGTGCTCTTTTCCCTTGAGCTTCACTGATCTTTGGAACAGGCATCAGCCAAAGCTCTTTAAGGACATATACCAACTTCTTTCTGCACCTGAGGAAACTGCGGCTCCAGAACTGATATCCAAGTAACTTGTCCAAAGCAGAACCAGGAGTTATCTAACCCTCAGAACAACGTTCATTCCAATAACTGGACTCTCCTATGTTTTACTTCGGCTTTATATCCTTCCCAATAGAATTCCTTATTTTCAGCATTCATCTGAGAAACTCCCACCTCCACCTCTCCACCCTGAAGATAATTCCAGTCCTGCTTAGGGCAGAGCATTGTCTTCTGCTACAGACTGGGATCAATATCATTAAAAGAGCTACAATGATGTGGTTGTAGAAACTACCATGTCAGGCACTTCTTTGGGTAGAGAGAATAATTAGGATGTGCTCTCTGCAGTTACCAAAGGAAATCCCCTGCAGGCACAGAGGTTTAGGCAGCTTCTTTTCTGTGTGGCCTGTAGCAGGTTTGAGCTCCTATTAATTAAACCCCATGAGGGCTCAGTGGCCAGCCCTCCATACATGCACATGGATACACAGACACAATGCTACCAACCTGGTCCCCTGTGCCTCTTCTCCATCCAGATGTAGCAGTTGTTCTGAGCTACCCCAGTTTGCGAATCCAGGAAGGGAAGGCGGACGCTTCGCTCAGCACACAGCCGAGAGTTGTAGCTGCGACAGTGCTCAATTGCTTCTTTGTAGAACTGGTCCCCAAGTCTGCCAAAAGAGACAGGACAGAGAGTAAGAAAGATTGCACTGCCCCCTCAAACAAGACTAGGAAAAAGGGGACTGAAGGTTGGTTTAAAAATGGACAAGCAGAAGAACTTTCCCTGAACACATGCAAAGCTTGCTGACATGAGACATTGCTGAAGTAGATCATGCAGAAAGTGCCACCAAAAGATCAGACTCTCAGGAACTGGACACAGGTCTTTTCAGTAGTGGCATAGCTACTGAATGAGCAAATGATGCAACCACACTGGCCCATGACCCTAGGTCAGGCAACATATACACCATGGTGCACTCATTCTATTGTTTCTTTTCCCCCGTAGTTTGTCCAGCCAATTCAGCAAACCAGTCATTTCAATCCTATGTTACAGCAACTCCTGCAGCATATTTTGAGCAACCAGAAAGCCAGCCAATTTTAGAAGAACTTCACTCCAGCATTTCTGGTGTCAGAGAGCCCATAAGAGCAAAGGACATAGTCCTCATATTGTGTGCTTCTGAAGCATGAAAACACACCCCTTAACAACTAAGGCCATGTCTGCAATGGTCAAACTAGACATTTTGTCATAACCCTTCCAGAGTTTTCCACAGTCAAGCCTGAGGCACCAACAGCAGCAGGCTACAACAGTGACCGGTAAGATCCAGCGTGGCAAATGCTGCTTTCCTCTGGAGCCCAGTGGGAGGAACAGTTCTAAAGACAATGATGTCATTTATTTCATAAATAACTATTTGTTCAAAAATTCTGTAGAATCTTCATCTTCCCTTGAGAAAGGTTTAAAAACTCTGCCTGATGGAGATTACCAAAATCCTCCCTCCAAATTTTTCTAAACAGGGAAAAGCATCAAAGTAAAGCTACCCTGAGGACACAAAGCATCTGTCATGCTGGAGCATTGCAAAGTAGGTGGGCCACACTGCTGAACCTCATTCTTGATCTATTGTCAAGGTTAAATTCAGTCATGACATGAATAACTAGGAAAGTTACCCATTAGGGGTAAGTTCATTAGAAAATAGGAGTAGAGTGATATATAGCATAACTTGCTCTGATATTCATTAGTGTGCAAAAAGAGTATAGCATGCACAGCAAGGGAGCCGAAGGGATGCATGCACAGAGACAAGAGAGGCTCCCTTTCCTGTTTTATTAGTTGTTTTCCCCACTACCCTCTTCCGTAGGCACAACTGGCATTTTAAAAGTATACTCCTTTTGTACACCTCTGAATGTCAAATCGGTGCAAATTGCTCTGTTTTACCATCTGTGTCTTTTTTCTGACTCACGTCTTTTAAGTCACTCCTTGGTTGCACCTTATGACTTCCATGGGAGCCATACTCTTTTTCCCTAGGCTGTACTGGCCCAATATCCTCTCGCTGACAGGGGCCAACAGCAGAGGCTCAGGGAAGAACACAAGAGCAGGGCAAATACAGAGGGAGGCACCTCTAGTTCCCCCTTCTCACTTCTGATGATCAGAACTTAACTTCCCCAAGTTAAGGGGAGGAAGAGACTTAACTAACCAAGTCTCAGGTGACCCAATGGTGGGGATATTATGTTTAACAGACCTTGATGAATCTTTCTTCCATGAATTTATCCAACCAACTCTTCAATCCACTTATCTTTTTCATACCTAAAACGTTGTGGGGCAATGAGTTCCACAGCTGAAATATGATTCATGCAAAAAAAGCATTTCCTTATGCTTGTTTTAAGCCGTATCTCAATTATTTACAATTACAAATCTGTAAGTCTCTCACAAAGCTTCCACCAGGTCATTTTTCTAATGAGCAGAGGGTATCCAGCACGCTGAGCCCCTGGATGTGGAACGAGCACCGTGGCTGAATGCCGGAGCCCACCAGCTTGCTGCTGCCCTCTACCACTCTGACTTCAGCCGCCGCATTTCAGAGTGTCCTCAAAGGAGAGAAGGCAGGCAGTCCTCCACAAGCAGGAATAGCACGCAGGAGTCAATACATCCTTTGGCTACAGAGACTTTCTAAGGGTTGTTCAGCGGCTTTGCGCAGCAGTGAACGTCTGTGTGAATGTGGTGCCTCACAGCCCTGTCCCCCCCCTGCTGACCACCAGCTCCTGGGCAGCAGCCGGTGCGGGGATCTTTGCAGGGCAGCTGAAGGAGAGAGCTTTCTGGACTGTACAAGCGAGCGGAGGGCAGAGCCGTGGGCAGAGCATGTACAGTGGGATCCCTCCGGACACTGAATCCCCCGCAATGACCTCAAACCCCTTTTTCCCATAAAAAGGCAGGGAGGGAGGGAAGGGGAGCAGAGGAGAAAGGAAAAGATAAGCTGCACTACTATACAAAGAATGTGACTAGGAAGAAATGAAAGCTTATTAAAAGCTGTAATTAAAGTTGTACACTTGTGTAATCAAAGTCAGTAACAAGGAGACTCCAGCTGATCAAAGATTAACAGCTCTTGCCACAAACACTTGAGCTTCCACAGAGCTATGTCAGATTCCCCCTATATTAAGCCAGGGATGCTCACTAACTCCAAGGAGTTTACCGGAAGGAAGAGCACAGCTGTGTGACAACAAACTGCCACCACTGCATGGGTTTTCTTTATGCTAAAAATTACTCCAGTCAGTAGAATATGCACACCACAAAGCAGCCGTATTAACAAAAACAATACATCTTAGCAACAGATATAGGATCTGGCTGGAGATGACCTCAGTTTCCACCTTCTTCTAAGACTGAAAATAACTATAAATCTTAGAATGTTAAACATTTGGCTTTAAATGACACTGTCAAGTAGGGTGTAAGATTAAATTTCAGATTTTTCTAAGAGGGAGAAAAGGGGTTTTGAGATCCTAATGGCAGAGAAGCTACCAAGTTAATGGGTCAAATTCACTCTTGACACAATCTTGTAGTCTAGCTGTTTCATTACATTTATTTTAAAGATTTTAAATATGCATCTTCTGCCTTAAAGAAAAAAAATAATTTAGGAGAAGCATTTAGTCACCTCCATACTTTAAGAAAGTTTGCCTTGGCTCCACTACAGCAAGCATGATCAAAAACGCCAGCCCCTAAGTATCCACTGGAAAGGTATTCAGATACTGGGACCTTCAGGACTTGCAGTGACTAATTATAAATGGAATTTTAAAAAAGTGACAGATAATCAAATATAGGAAAGTAAAGAAACAATATTTCCTTATAACAGTCATATCTCAGTGGAAAACAGCTTCCCTGCAAATACTTTTGGCTGGTTGGTTGTTTTGTTTTACCATTAGTCTTCACTGGAGTGACTCTGACTCGTTCCGAATTTCAGTTAGTTTTTTTTAAGGAACTTTAAACTTAGAGATATTTTTTTCTTTGTTTTCAGTGCTACATATCTAAACACAGCACAGACCTGTTGGAGCTGGTCCAGAAGAGGGCCATGAAAATGATCAGGGGGATGGAACACCTCTCCTATGAGGAAAGGCTGAGAGAGTTGGGGTTGTTCAGCCTAGAGAAGAGAAGGCTTCGGGGAGACCTTCTTGCAGCCTATCAGTACTTAAAGGGGGCTTATAA